ATAAAGAATAGCTGTGTGCAAGAAAATAATGTAAACTTTATTCTTACTTTTGTTGTTTTTCTGGCTGTTGATTAAGCCCTTAATTGTAAAAATGGAATATAAATGTATTATGCTAAATGTAATAAGCAGGAAAAAGGAAAGAAGGGATGGAAGAAAGAAGAAGGAGAATTAGAATGACTTAGAATTAAAATCATCAAGATCACTTGACTGTTTGTCTTGTGTTCTTTCATTGTCCCTCCGCCAAACTTCTACCCACTTTCGTGTTCCCTCTTCCAGACCCTAGACCTCAGGCTTACAAGCCCCTCCCGACTGGAGCAGCCCACGGCGGCAGGGACCAACATGGGGGTTGGGGAAAACTAAGAGGGGATAAATAATGTATACTGCCTTGAAACAGATGAGGGAGAGAACTGTTTAAAAGGAATATATGATTAGGTATTATCGGCATGACAAGAGTCCAGAATGAAAGCTGCACAGTGTAGTGGACTGGAGAGGGGTGGGGGGACATTATATAACAATGAAAGAATTTTTTTTTTTATTTTTCAAAGAGAAAAGCGAACTGGGAGGAGGGGTGGGCAAGAAGGAAAATGTGAAACAGTGAATGAATGGAAATCCAAAGTCTCTGTAAACGTTCATTAAAATTAATTAAGAAAAACACCTCAATTAAAAAAAATATTCATTCAGGGAGCTCTGGTGGCCTAGTGGCAAAAAGCTGTGCTGCAATACCAGAGGTTTGCTGTTCGAATCCTCTAGATGCTCTGTTGGAGAAAGAGGGGCAATCTCCTCCTGTACTAGACAGATCTGATATGATGGTACACACACACAAAAAATAATAAAAAAAAATTCATTGTTGCACAATTTTCTCCTTTCTCCTCTCTTTGCCCCCTTTCTTACTCTACTTTGTAATACACCTCTTATTCTGGACTGTTGTCACACATTATAGTGCTTAATCATATATGCCTTTTTTTTCTATTTATTTTAATTGTAAAAAACATGTTTGGTGATACCGGGGGTGAGGGTTGGGAGCAGAACAGTGAGGATGGGCAGGGATGAAATCACAGGGCTGCACAATTTGGTGGGTGGAGGGAGGGAGCAAAGGAAATGAGAAAAGGACCAGTTGGGAACCAGAAGAGACAGGGTAATGGTAAGCATAGTCCAATGGTGATCAAATTATTATTTTTTTTTTAACAAAGAAATTGTCTTATTCACTTGTGAGTTTTTCATTTGGGTATGGGGCACATATACACCTTTTAAACAGTTCTTTACTACGTTTGTTCCAATGCTATGTTCATTGTTGATAAGCGACCCTATGTACAACAGCCCTAAACTCTGCTCTGTCCTGTGCCAATCGCACTGTCTCTGATACACCCATCCCGATTACCCCAGTCACTGAATCAATCCATCTTGTAGATGGCCTTCCCCTCCTGCGCTGTCCCTCCACCCTACCAAGCATGATGTCCCTCTCCAAGGACCGGTCCCTCCTTAC